TTTTCATTACTTTTTTCCCAACTTTAAAGCAATGAAAGAAAAGATACTTGTAGCTATCTAAATTCCACGTAGTTCCAATGGAATGAGTAAAATTAAGAAGTGAAAAACTAATAATGTGATGTTAAATGTGTATCATCGGCCAAACCAAGCAGCGGCGACGATATTTATACCTCATCGTACCTTTTTTGGTACGCTTCGGCGGCGTATCAGGCGAGCGTGGTCGAGCCATGGTTCGTATTTACCCATGGTGAAACCAAAAGAGCCTTATATGCCGTCGAAGCGAGCCAAAAAGGTACGATTAGGTATTTACCGCACGCAAATTCGGCCAAGTGAGTATGATATCGGAGAAATATCAGGTCAGTGACTTGATATCGCAGGATATCAAGACCACAGACACGGCTTCTGATTGGCTAATTGCAAATTTGGGTACGAAGAGGGCGCGTATCATTGTGTCACTAAGCTAACAGCGGTTATGAGATGGCTTCCGAAAGAAACAAGGAGATAGCTTTCAGCATATCGGGTACTACATGAAATTTAGTTTCCGCGAATTTTCCCACGTTTACGCGTGGTTAACAATCTGAAAGCAAGATTTCCTACCTTGTTGGAGTGTAATCAGGAAGAAAAAGGCATCAAATTTAAGCAAGAGACTTATTAGAATAAGCGAATGATCATATTCGAGGAAAAGTGATGGTACGACAGTAAGTTTCACTGATGAAAACTAGAAAGATACATGTCAACTTAATTAAAGAGGAGATTTTAGACAATTATGTCCGGAAATGTAAAATGCAGGTCAGAGTACATTTTGATGCTTCATAATCACAGCAACGCCATCCAGAATCGCGACTTTTTTTGTTTCTTTTTCGGTGATTATGTCTTGATTTATAGCTGGTTAACAGCGTGTTCAATCTTCTACTGGTGTCAAATAACTAGACGGAACATATCCTTTGTGACCATTACATTCAACAAGCCACCATTCGTCATTTCCAGTCAAGTCCTGTTTCTGTATCACCACTACTAGCTGTCCTTCATCCAGACTCAACTCCGCCGCACTGCTAGCCTCAAACGCATAGTCAGCACAATAGTACAACTTAGCAATAGCTGCGTGTTGCGAGGATGGACCGCTAGCCTCTTGAACGTCGTCTGCATTTCTGTCTGTGTCCTGCACAGTACCACTGTTATCGTCGCCATCTTGATTGTCTATAACATCACCTTCACCTTCTTCGTCACTATCATTTTCACCCGCCGGGGACAAGTAACTCTGGGGGACATACCCAGTGGCATCATTATAGTGAACCAGCCACCATTCCGGGTTCCCACTGCTATCCGAGTGTCGCAGGACAGACACAAGATCCCCCTCGGACACCGACAACTCGCCCGCATTTTGAGCTTCAAAGCTGAACTCGACCACATAAGGTTTGCCTTCTCCTGGCGTTACATCTACAGGCTGTGAGCTGTCTAAATCCTTAGGCTCCTAGTGAAATAGCAAAAATACTCATACATGTCAAACGAACAGGAAGCTATGTAGTAACAACCAACTCTAGGCACCTCTGATATTCTACTGTAGAATCAATCAACATACATCCTCCATCTCCTTGGCTTAAGGAAGAAAGCAAATGAAACAAGAGACATCTTCACACAGACTACTGTTATTTGCGCGCAAAAATCGAGCATCGACCAATCATAGAGCGGTACGGATCTCCGTAAGGTTACGTCATCACTTATGGAATTTTTCGGGCCCGGTCTCACACGTATTTTAAGCGACAAAGAATAGGCCATTTCCGAGTTGTCTTGTACCTCTGTTTCAAAACGAGTCTTGATCAAAACCTTTCATATGAAAATAAGTTTGATTTGCATGAAAATGAACATGTAGGCAGAACGCATTTTCATATGAATGGTGTCGCACAGAGACCCGTTTTAACTGACACAGAGGTAAAAGACAACTCGGAAATGGTTAATTGAAGACGAAGGACCAAAACGCCGTTAGTCTTTACTGAAGCGGCGAACACTCTCTTTGACAAACTTTTTTATTGTTACACCAAATGCCTACATGTAGCCTGCGTTCAGACGTCTTGTTTTTTTCGCTTCACGCGTGAAACAAAGGCACGCTAGCAATACCAAGATAAACTGTTTTACAGGGAAAATTACTTTCCTCCTTGATTTACTTCCCCACAAAAAAAGAAAAAAATACAGTAAACGGCCGCGCAAGATTAGCGTACTCAAAAAATTCCCCACCAGTTGAATCATAAAAGAAAAAAATCATAAAAATCAGAATTCACAACGTGAACTCGGTGGCTCATTTCACTTGTAGTCTAATTACTTACGATCCGTGTTGTGCTGCTCAGTCTCCGCGGAGCTGGACGCGGCTGAAGAATCGACTGGGAAGGTGGTGAGGCTTGACTTCTCGTGGCCACCCCACCCTCCCCACCCTGGTCACCGTCTTTGGAATCTAACAAGCTGCTTTTGGTCTCGGTATCATCTTCTACTGCATCCTGGAAACAGGGAAGTCAACAAAATGAATGGGAATGTTATTACAGTCTACAAAGCGATCTTCCTTTGAAACTAGCACACTTCCTTTGAATTTGCGTATTCGGGACTTTCATTTGCTACGAAATACAAGAACTGAAGGCCAGATATCTTAATTTTCCTTCAATTATACCATAGTGCCTTGATCGGGAAAAGAATCCCAGACATTTTGTAATTAACTTGAATCTCTTCACAAGGCATCGTGTTTAAGTACTCAAACGCCAATTCTTATAATTTCGAAAAGATTAGGAGAAACAAGCTTTGCAAAAAGAACTGTGTCTATTGTGTTTGCTTGCCCTGCCGGCTTTTCTTCCTTCTGGGATTTTTTCTTTTTTAAACCCACCCCTAGATGCGCCACTGGAAATGAGAAAAATATCTACACGTGACGAATAGACGGTATGCTGCAGTTTTTTCGTGAGTTTTAAATGAAGTACTTACAAGGTCATGTGATGGCTGAGATGGGCTTTTAAATGATCGCCTTTTCTTGCGCGAACTGTCTTTAGCCACAAAACTACACGGAATAAAGCTCAGATCTGAAAACTGTTCAACGACTTGCATTGATCTTTTGTTGTGATGTTCAGCTATGTCCTCGTCAACTGCCTGGACAATTGGTAACTAAACAAGAAGCGTTACAAATTGTCACGTTACATAATATTAGAGCCAGCCGTTCGATACAGCGTTGCGTGACAAATCAAACAAAAGACTGCAAAGGGTAACAGTGTTAGAGAAACCAAGATTACCAAAAGGGTATTTCGGGTTGCGAGTTTGCCAATCAACAGCTACTGTAGTTCAGTTAGGCTAACACAAATATTTGATGACCAACCGGCGGTTGCCACAGACGTCACTTTCAAAATTCCCCGCCTATTCCCTGACTTTTCCCTGATAAAACTTTCCCTGACCAAATAAATACGACATGTCACTCGTTCAGATAAAGTAGAGGGCTCCAGTCTCCCCTTACAGCCATCCTTTCCACACATTTATTATAGACTGATAAGTTTTCAACACGTTTTCGCCTTCTTCGTTAAGGAAAAACATCTTTCAGATCACAGTGACCCGAAATGTTTCTTCCAGCTTTCAATGGTATTAAATGAGCGGTGATACAATTTCAATTTTACCTGACTTTTCCTCAAAATGAGAATTTTCCCTATCTCAGAATTTGATTCCCCGGCGTTTCCTTGACCTTTAAGTAATTTTTCCCACACCATTTCCCGACCAGTGGCAACCCTAAAGACACATTAGTTCGCTACGTTCTCCTCCCTTTGAAACGTAATTAATATTTCGACTGTTTGTCAAACTGTACCTGTAGCAGCTTCCCATAGTCTTGTTGTATTTCAAAGTACAGTCTGTTCTGCGCTACAGCAAAGTTTTCCAAACAGTCCACCACCAACGCCATGCACTTCTCAGTAAATCCAGGAAGTTCCTCAAGCAGCTGTGTGTTCAGAGCTTCGTAGTTTTTCTTGGCAAGTTCAAGATCTTCTTTGGCCTGGATAGNTCTTCGTTAAGGAAAAACATCTTTCAGATCACAGTGACCCGAAATGTTTCTTCCAGCTTTCAATGGTATTAAATGAGCGGTGATACAATTTCAATTTTACCTGACTTTTCCTCAAAATGACAATTTTCCCTATCTCAGAATTTGATTCCCCGGCGTTTCCTTGACCTTTAAGGAATTTTTCCCACACCATTTCCCGAGCAGTGGCAACCCTAAAGACGCATTTGTTCGCTACATTATCCTCCCTTTGAAACGTAATTAATATTTCGACTGTTTGTCAAACTGTACCTGTAGCAGCTGCCCATAGTCTTGTTGTATTTCAAAGTACAGTCTGTTCTGCGCTACGGCGAAGTTTTCCAAACAGTCCACCACCAACGCCATGCACTTCTCAGTAAATCCAGGAAGTTCTTCAAGCAGCTGTGTGTTCAGAGCTTCGTAGTTTTTCTTGGCAAGTTCAAGATCTTCTTTGGCCTGGATAGGATTTTGGCAATCAAACACAATCAAGTCTGACCCCTTACAATATATGTCATTAAATTTGCAGCTAAAGGTTAAGATTGGTTACACTGATTTAACATTTAACACTACTCAGGATTAAACGTTGACCGAAGTTTATATTTCTGCCGTTTCCAAGTGTAAAACTCTGGTCAAACCCAACTGAATGGAACGACTACAGCTGATAACTTTAATGCTTAGAACAACTGGGAGTTGGAGCTAAGCTGACAAGTGTTACTTTTAACGTGAAGACACTTCATAGGCTTTGTTGAAAAATTACTTTATCTTGGGTTTACCGAAATTTGAAAACGCTGTTCCCTGATTAGGGACCGCAAAGGCTGAACTCGAGCCACGATGCTATTTTAACCTAAAGGAGGTTTACCTATGTCAGCTTAGAGGACTTTTCCGGCAATTGAGTGTCAAAAGTAATCTGGCAATTACTTTGGTTTTGGTTTTGGTCTTACTATGGTGTGAGATTGACTGAGTAGTCTAATTGGTAAGTAATTGGTTTGGTTTTACGACACTCAACTGAAAACCGTTTAAAGCAAAAAAATGGATCATATAGGGTTCACTCAAGTTGATGACAAAGGACACAGACAATCCAACGAACCAATCAGAACACCACGTCTTTAATGCATGTAGTTAACTTAAAGTGCGGGAAAACGTGTGCGAGCGAGTCACAATTCGTTTTAGTTTTACTTCTTATTGGACGACAAAGTAACGCGAGTTTTTTAAGCCAATCGTGTAGCGTAGCAATGCAAAACCAAAGCAAATGCTACATCATATCATGCAAGTCAAAACCACTCTATTCACAAATGTGTAACCTGCTTTTGAACTGCTACGAGTTTTAGTGCAACATTGTGACATTTGACACTGTTGGGATCTCACTAAACTTAAACAAGGAGCCAGTCGAAATCATCCTGTCGCAAACTCACCGCTTTTAACTTGTCCCTGTCTTTAATCTTGTCAATCTTGTTGGACCATCGATCATAGTCTAAGCACTTGTCATTTCGCTTCTGAATCAAACGTTGAGGGCCTTGAAACAAGTTCAGCAAGGAGTTAAGCGGAGACAAAACTTGCATCTGAACCCAGTCCATCTGATGACAGAAAACATAACAACATTAAAACGAGGCCCTGTTAGACTGATTAAAACATGTAAGGTTCAGTGAAATGTTTCTGTTTCAGTTGGGAATAAATAAACAGAGATGACTAAACATAATTAAAGAATGGAACTGACTGAGTCTTATGAAAGTCAGAAGAAACTTAACGTTTTCAGTATTAAGGTTCAATTTTTAGCTTCAACCGTCTCTGACACCACGATCAAACTTGCAGAATGTGGCCGGTTTTGAAGAGATTTTTTTTTTCGTCTACACAGTTTGACAAAACATCCGTCTCTTAATTCCTCACAGAGGAGACCGCGTCCTCTGGTAAATATTATCAAAACGTAAATTAAAGTTAGTAAGTTAGTAATTGAACTATCCAAATTCTATACGACACTTACAAAAATAGAACGAATGGTTTCTCCAATCCTCTTCTGTATTTTGTGATAAGTAGACACTTCTGAGCACGTGGCAGCCTCTTGGTAGAAATCACTGACGTTCTGTCCTGAGGACCTGTGACATTCCATCGTCTCCTACAGCAAGACAAAACAGCATGTTGAGATACGGCTCCGGATAAACCGGATTGGTGCTCAAACCAAGGCGTTTTTGCTTTTAGAGTTTTTTTTTGTTTGTTTTTTCTTTTAAGTAACTGTCAAAATGACGCAACCTGAATTGTTTCCAAACAATTGCACTTACAAGTTAGAAATACTGTAGAACGTAATGTTCGAGTCAGCGCCCTCCTTGCAGTAAGCGCCCCCTTTTGTTTTCCGTCTTCTCTGGGCTTTTATATAGCGTCCTATTTCAATACGGGCCCCATAGCAAAAGTGCCAAAAGTACCAAAAATACCAAGTAAGTATTTTGTTTTCACAGACAACCATGAAGAAAACAAACTATAACAACAAAAATAAAACAAAAACAAAGAAAGACAACAAAAACGCAAAAAAAAAAGAAATAAGAAAGCCGAAATGCGAGCATAGTTGGAAACCAAAATGGTCGACAGACTTTGATCATTATTATACTGTTAATTTCTTACCTGAAATTCTTCCAAATAAGTGGAGACATTCTTTAGTAGGGTTTTCACAGTTTTCTCTACAGCACGAAACTTTTTCTCTTCTTCAATGAATTTTTCGTCAACAGTCTGAAAATTGTGACAGGAAAAACGATTAATATTACAAAAATTGGTTATAAATAAAACAGCAATTTCCAAAACAAACTGCTGAAAAAAAGAATCGCGCAAGGGGAGCCATGGGAAAAAAAATCGAGCAAATGCTTTCTGCTATTCAGGTCCTATATTTTTATACTAAAAAAAGACAATCTTGCACAAACTATTTCCCACCAAAAAAATGCACAACACAAGGGTGAGAAAAACAATTTATGTCCCAGAAAATTGCGCTAACCCCTCCCCTCCCCCCTCCCCCCCAAAAAGAAGACAAAACAGTAATAATAATGGTCCGTCCCTTAGCGAGTTACAGTTCACCTGTGACACAAGCCCTGTGAGTTGCGTCAGCCTCTGGTTAAACCTGGAGCCTTTTTTCACCACTGAATGCCAGCTCAGCTTCTGTATTTTGTTGGTCAACCCACTGTCTTCCACTTTCTTGTACTTCACGACTAGTCAGAGAAAAGCAAAATGAAGTTTCAGTCTAGAATAATGGTGAAAAGTTAAGACAGTAAATTGAAACAGTGACAAACTGAGGAACTGACATGAACTCAATTCCAAACAAACGCGCTTAAAAGAGAAGATAGCAATTTCAGGCCCCGTCCACGCTACGGCGGACGAAAACGCAGCTATATTTCTACAGCTACGTCCATACTAATCCGTCACGAAAACAGAGCTTTTCGAAAACGCTCTTCGAACCGGAGGAATTTGAAAACGCCGGCTTTACGTTTTAGTGTCGACGGGATGGGCAAAACAGTTTGAAAACGATGATGTCACGATGCGATTTCCCTAACCGAAATTTCCTCACACGTGGGTCCAAAAAACTATTGATTGTTTCGTTTTCAAATTTTTCCGGCGTAATGTGAACGGAAAACATTTGATGCTTTTTCAGAGTTAAAACGCCGTTTTCAAATTTCTCAAGCGTGGTGTGAACGGGACCTAAGAAATACTACGTTTCTCGCACGTTTGACTACTTTTATTGAAAGTGTCATGTAACCTGAAGATGGTATTCAAAGCCAATATAGGTCAGAACTACTCTCATACATGTACTTTATACAATTGCTTGTTAAACTGGTAAGAATCCGCCAAAGGAAAAAGAGATGGCGGCAGCATATTACCACAATAACTTGTGAACCTGCATTTTTGCAATGTTTGACACTGTGCTAACGACATTGTGTATACTAAGTTTGAAGATATTAGAACGTTTTTGTACATTTTTTACGAGCGTAGTAAAGGTATTCGGGCGCTAAGAGTTGTATCAAGCAATATTTTACATCCTCACCGAGATCTTTTCTTCTTTTAAACTCGTTGATAGCATTTGCCACATCAGCCATGACTGATATCGCTCTCAACAAGTTGTACTTGTCTCGGTGGATTTCTGGTGTATACTGATGAGAAAAATTCCATTACAAACAGATTTCTTAAAAATAAATTTAGCACACTTTGCAGTACATGTACAGTGCATAGCTGTACTTAAACTATACCGATTATATGGAACATTCTAATTACAAGTAGACAAAGCAGTATGTCTTCTGACAAACCTTGCGCTTGACCACTGGCAGAAAGTTTTTCTCTCGAAATCAGGCAAGAGGAATGAGGCGAGACGTAACAAGCTAGAAAGGACTGGGACGAGACATGGGTGCCGCAACTCGCGAGAACAAACTTCTCGCCCCAACCCCTTTTTGCCCATACCGCCCCTTTAAGTTCACCTTCACGAATAAACACTAGTCTGACCCTGTGAGAAATGACTAGGATTGTGTAGTTTGCTATGGACAAGTCAGCGCTCACCTTGAGCAGCTCATTCAACAAGAGCGGGTATTTAAGAACTCTCTGAACTGGTTTGATAAGAAATGATGATAAGTCCCAACACCGGGTGTGTTCTCTGAAGAGAAACAAAAAACAACTTTGACATCTAAGACTAAGTGTAAGGGTATTCAGTGCAAGGGAAGAAGACCTTCACAAAGACAAGAACTCCAGGCAGTGCTTTGTACATTAGGAATCTGACATGTGACTGGTTGCAGCAAAAAGTTTTACAAAAGGAGACAAGCACAAGATTGATATTTTTAAATAAATAATAATCAAATCCGGCTGCACTGGCAACCACACAGGTTGCAACTTTGGCAATGTTAATCATGACAGACTTCAAGCTACTTGAGATTCTCTTTCTTTCCTGTAGTTTACTATACATTACCTAATTTTGTCCAAACATTTTGTGAAGGCGTCTTGTATCTCCGGTACTTCTTCATACTGCAAGCACAGAAGATGAATAAGGTTGGTATTCAAGAGCATACATGTACATGTACATTATACAGGTACAGTGAACACCGAAAAACGGTAAATAACTAACGTTGCTACAGTCTCACGATGGCCAAATTTCATTTATTTGTACTACAGACGAATTATCCGACGCCAAATTTTATAGTAGGAGAGGTTTTTTTCCATCTGAAACGATTTATCAGTCTGAGACGGATAAATCGTTCAGGTATAAATCCGACGAATGAGCCAAAGACAAATTGAGCGGCAAAATTCGTCTTTGGCTCATTCGTCTGTCAGCACGACTTCTACTGACAGACGAGTGAGCCCACGACAAACCGTCTTGAAGCTGTCAATCATTCGTCTCAGACGGCTAATGGATAATTCCTTCAGTTCCTAAGAATGAATCTACATGTACACCTACTTACGAGACGAGTAACCTAACATGTACCTTTTCCATGAGTGAGATGGCATCATCATGGTTTCTACAATACACAGCATACACCTCTTTCATTTCTTCAGCTATGTCCACAAAACACTTTCCTGATAAAAAGTACATAAATATTTTACCAAGCAATGTAAACAAACTGGTGCAGTAGAGAGCAAGCTTGATGGAGCAATAACATTCAGATACAACAACTCCTCTAGTTACACTGTAAGTCCCACACACTCAAAAGGTATCTCTACATGGAAGATGGATCACGCACAATCACTACCAATGTGCAATCATTACCAAGTTCCTGATCTTTTCCTTCCTTATCTTGAACAGCATTTTCTAAGTTCTTCAGCAGCTTCTGTGATGTTTCTAATACACTCTCAATGTTACCAAATAACCCTTCAAAATCGAGATCTTTGACCTGCGGGGAACAAATCCAGGAATAAATTTTTAAGTTCATGAGTTTTCTGCGAGTGACTTAGGTGGTTTCTTAATTGACCGCTCCCACGGTGAGGCTTCGCATAATATTGATAAAATTCCCAGCAAGCAAGAGGCACACCAGTTGGCTTTATACAAGGGTGACGGACCAAGAACAGCACCGGCTAATGGCTAGAATGCCACTTAAACCTGCAATCTCCTAATTTCAAGTCCAGCACCCATTAACCTCTTGCCATGCTGCCTCCACTTTGTTCCCTGTTCCCTGTAGATGTCTCTTTTTTCACTTTGACTCAGTTCTTCTCCTGTCCAGTCCAATAAATAAACTTTTACCTCAACAGAGTTCTATAATGTACAGTACACTGTACCTGCAGTTACTGTAGCCTCTTTAATAGATTTTTGTACTGTATTCTTTTGTATGCGAACTAAACCAGTCAGACATAACATGCGTAATCTGTTAGTAGTGTTAAGTATTTTTCAGGTCAAATCTGGCATCTTTTTAGTAGAGGGAACAAATCATCTGTTTGATCGGGCTGCTGTTAACTCTTTCTTGGCTACTGAGATGGATGGATGTGTCTGTACATGTTCCAGGCTCTGTTATCATGGGAAGCAAAATGAGCTGTTACCCATCTCCACACCCTTAGAACCTGGAGCAGGGTACTCTGTTGATAACAGAAACTAACCTGTGAAGCCTGGAGTTCAAACAGGAAGTACTTTACACAGAGCTCAAGGTCACTACAGTAATCCTTCTCTGTGTTAATAAGTTCAGTCACGACTCGCTGTCTTTGCTCAGCCATGTGCTTTTGGCTTGATTCTGCTGGTTTTTCTGTTAAACTGTGCAGGGAAACTGTAATATAACAACAAAATCAACAAAGTATAATTAAAAATAAATTAACCATACAGATACTGTCTTGAAATTTAAAAGATCACTGCTAGCCATTCCACTCTCCAGATGGAGTTGATAGACCCTTGATAGATGTGGGTCCAGTCGGTCAGGCCAGTCAGACCTCAGCTGGGCAGTTGAAAGATACAGCTGTTGTACAACTGGGAAATAATATCTACGATGGGCATCTACGAACTGGAGGAGTAGGGGTGTACTACAGCCCCTCCCCCCTCCCCACCACAGCTACGGAAATTATGTAATTTTTAAGGCAAAAATTTGGGCAAAAGTTGATAGAAATTGAGATTGCTAATAGAGGTCACTGAGTATGCAAGCTTTCACTATAACCATCTTTGGAATTACCGCAGTTTCATTAGATGTGAGAATTGTGAGCTGTTTTGTTTCTCATGTAATTTGAATGCGTTTGAGTTCACGCATTCAGGCATTGCGTAATGTTTTTGGGCAAGAATATCACCACCACCACAAGTCCGAACGAATTTCATAATTTACATATGGTCACGTATATTTTAATCCTTGATTAAAATGATAACTTCTCCGTGAAAGGTCTTACGATATGTTAAGCTTATATCCAGTCACTTGTAAGTGAGCCGCCACCTTTTAAGTGGCCACGCCTTGAATAAGTGGCCGGTCATTTAAGTCCTGAAATTATTGTCAGTAAAACAATGTAAATAAAACCCCTGTTAACCAGCCACGGCCACGTTTTGGTCAGCCTGATGGGGTTTTTCTATTGTCTTTACCCCTATTAAATGTCCACCTAAAATTTAAAAACTTTGTTTTGGAAAAGGTGATGGCAGATAAGAGTCTGAAATAGAAGGTGACGAGTGATAAAAACATTCAAGCACATGTTTATCATGATTGTCTTGAAGTGACTCCATTCACTACGAAATTAACCCAATGGGTAAAATTATTCAAGGTACATCAACCTCTATTAAGCGGCCAACCTCTATTGATTGGCCACCTGCCATTTTCTCAAGGGTGGCCACTTAATAGGAGGTTTGACTGTATTACTATATCAATCATGGCCACTAATTTAACCTTGCCATACCCTCTAGCTCTGTCAGCTCTCTCTTGATCTTCTCCACAAGTTGTGCACACACTCCAAGGTTTTCCATAACCTCTTTCTTTCTGTTCTCCTCCACTACACCAAGCAACATTTCAAGACTTCTTTGGCTCCGCACTTGTTTCTAAAAAATATTTGGGGCCATTTTTTTTAATGGGAAGGAGTGGCTACAACAAAAATGACTATTTAAATGAAGCATTTGCATGGCCTTGTTTTTGTTTCTTCTTTTTTTTCTACTTGTTTTTCAGAATGTTAATAATACAGTCCAACCTCAAGAGCCCTCATGGGCCCGATAAGGATGAGTGAGTGAGTGAGTGAATAATACAGTGGTTAGATTACATGTAAATGACTTTAAGCCTCCAAGAACAGTGCAATATCGAACTTCCACTGACTAATTCGGCAACAGTACTGCAAAATATGTTGGTGAAAACCAGAAAAGAGAGCCCATTTATGTACAATTACATGTAATACATAGATTACATTCTCTTCACATCAAAATAAACAAACAACAAAACTTGCTCGAGCAAAGTAAGCAAAAGCACCAACTCTACATGTACACTTATCTTACATTTTGGAGGGTCCATTATAAGTTAGATTCAGCTGCTGGGATGGTAACTGCATTTTTGCAACAGGCATAGTGTGATTGAAAGACAAAATAAGACTGGTCTTTTCAGTTGACTGTACAAAAATAGGGTTTGATTTGGAATACCTCTAAGTCTGCTTCCAAGTCAGCTATTTTAACCTTCAGCATCTTTTTCCGATGTGACTCTATCAGAAAGACTTGTTCATCTAAAAAAATCAACACATTTATTGGTTAACTCAGTTGTTGAAGATTTCTTCTTTCACATCAGGCTTTCAGCCAGATGGGCGTCCAGGCATCCTGTGAATGGCCACTTGTTAAAGAAAATTGTTTTATATTTCATATGTTGCCTCAAAAATTGTCCATTTGAGCAGATCCTATAACACATTTTGGACAGCCACTTTTCAAATCCTGGTTTAAAGCCTGTTTCACATATGGAAGCAACACACAGTACACAAATTGATCCCAGGATTTCGATTGACATTAGTATTGGTCAATTCAAGTTAAGAGAGGCACTGTGAGAGTCAAGTGTAACACCCAGGAACATAATGCAATGACCACACCCAGGGCTTGAATCCAGACCACTTGATCCACAATCCAGCATGCGAGCCATTAAATATTGGTAATCGAAAAGGATCCGCGGCTGCGTGGCACAGTGTAAACAGTTCAAAAGTTATCAATAGTTCTGTAATAAATTTAGCACCAAAATTGTACGGCAGACACTTCAGGTTTAGCCCTGTGTACTTCAGTGCTAAGTTTTGAATGAGACACGTCATTGAAGAAATGAACATGTGAAATTATACACACGACTCTAAAAAGCACACGCACGTCAAGCTGTATAAAAAAGAAGTCCATGTTTAGGTGCATTTCGTCACAGGGTTTGGCGTTTTTTGTACCCCTGCACTGTTTTATGCACCAAACCTCCATGTCATCTAGACTAGAAATTTTATATTAATTTAGAATAGAGGGCCACTAGTTTATCAGTTATAAGTTGTTATGTGCTACCCTCTTTATTAAATAAAGTTGTTACTTGCTGCTGGGACTAAACATGGATTTCAGTGTTTAAACAGCTTGACATATGCATGTTTTTCCCTACATGTATCTGTTAGAGTCACACTTATAACATTATTATTTATTTCTTCAATGATGTGTCCCATTCAAAACAGCACTGAGGAAGGGCAAGGCCCAAAACATCTGCCATATAATTGAGTTTATTTTGGTTCTAAATTACTATTATTTATAACTTTGCGAGCTACATGTATTAGGCCACTGTCCCTGAAAATTGTAAATTTAAATTTGAAATATTGGCAAAACAAAAGTGACAGCGGATTTTACTCTAAAAGTAAGTGTATGAAACCTTTGAGGTGCTTTAATTCTTCTTGCCATTCTGTTATCTTCTGCTGGCTCTGTGACACCTTTGCTTCCATTTCTCGTTGTTTAACAGGATCAGTCATCACAAGCTGGAAATAACATTATCAAAAGTCACACTTTGCTTCACTACAATCTGTAAACTCCAGTTTTAAAATATAGTTAAATGGAATTTAACACAGTTAACGACTAGGAGCTAGTCTGGTCAGTAGCATTTT